TGTAAATATAAGTTTAATCATCTTCGTAAATAATAAATCAATGTTAACAATTCAACTTGATAATACAATACTATGAATGAACATTTTACAATCAAATACAATTCTAAATTCCAATAATTAAATTGAATATTGTCATAGATATCATGAAATATTAGAGTTTTTCAATATTCTTTACTTTTCTGCGAAGAGAAAGAAGAGATTTCCATTCCAACTGAACCTTCCTCGCCCACCAAACTTGATATTCAAATATTTGTAACATAAATACAAAATTGAATGGAAAATCAATCCGCCTCAAGGAGCAATATGGTTACCAAGAGGAATTTTTTTCCCCTACCTAAGAATTTGAATGAATTTCCACCATGAAAACCTCAGAGTTTTTTTCATCTCTCATTCTCTCTCAATAAATATACCTCTTCGTAAATTTCTTTCCTTCAAAGTGCGAAATTCTTATGGTGAAAATTTAGAAAACAAATCTAGTGTTCAATCTGATGGTTCTATTGAAAAAGTCGATAGCTGAAAAGAAAAGATAAATATTAGAACTTTTCCTTTCTTATTCCATAGGAATTCATTGCTTCCTGTTTAATAACTTTTCGTACCAATTTAAAGTTCACAATTTAAGTTAATAGTTATTAAATTTGGTATCAGTAATAAATCATGAGCCAAGTAATTGTTTAAAATTGAACCTAATGAATTGATTGAGATTTCAAATGTCAACTTGATCTCTCATGGATTATTTTCATGAACCACTCACATTAAATCACTTCAATCATCGTAATCAGATAATAATATTAATTAGAGTAATTTACACTTTCAATTAACTTTATGAGAATAATAATTCATCAACTGATTAATGATTATCTTTGTAATGGTCGATTTTTTTATATGTATAAGAACATGAAATCTAAGGTTAAAGTTTTCGATGATTTCATCGCCATGGGAATAAAATAAAAGTTCATTGACTGAGACATTGAATTAATGATTGGAAAGTGTAATTAAAATGATTAACTTAAATTACTAGTTCTTAAATCTGTTCATTATCAGTGGATCAAAATATAAATATAAATAGTCACAGAATCGCCACCATTCAGGGAATTGGAAATGACCAACGATCGGATCAAGTTTCTAATAATGTAGTTGTAACTGTCATTAGAAGTGATCAAATTGTTAACAAGAAAGTTGATTATTTCCGATTTGATTGTTACAATTTAGAGCAATTTAATCATCTTTTATTAGAAGATGATTATCATCATAAACTTAGACGATAAAGTTAATCTAAAATCTAATTTACTCTTTCTTGTGTTTCCTTAAGATGCTAATGAACAAGAGATAAAAAGTTCTAATGATCTTTATAACTTATTCAGTAATTTCGTTAATTTGTAACAACAATCAACTAAATAGTAGTAACATTGTATGAAATTCAAAATGTCAACATTATTTTTGTGTTGATAACAAGATAAACAAAAATATTCTTCTTAACCTCTAATTACTATAGTATTTTGTTTCCATTATCATGATTATCTGAGTGTTGCCCACGAATATCAGTGCAACTGAACCAAAACAGTTTCTTCCATCTCGCTACTAATCTGAGGCTACTCAGCATTTGTTTGGTCTGATTTCATGGTAACTCTTACTTTTGAGAAATGCGAACGTGAATTTAATTGTTAGAACTTTAATGAATCTTCCTCTGATGACACAATTACATATTCCAATTTAGGACAATTAAATTTCTGTACTCAGCTCATTCACCTTATGACTCGTGAATGAATCATGTAAATAACATGAACCGTAACAAAACCTTGAATTTCCAATGGATTCAGCAACCATGCTACCTCAATGTTGTATCTCCATAAGTTAATTGTTACCATCGATTGGCTTAATAGAGCTATATTAAATTTTCCATGTTCAGTCTAATTCGTAAATTTCATGAGAATCCGATTATTTTTTTCTCTATTCTGATACATGATCATTAGATTCACTCATTTACCTATCAAATTACAATCGAAATTGAAACGTTTCTATCTCATGAATCTTATCTTTTTCGAAGATTCAATTTATGTTCAGAACTTTTGTTCAGCAACAAAAGGAAAAAGTTGATAATCTTTTCCAATGCTAATAACAAGTTCGCTGGCATTTTAAATCTTTCAAATCAATCAAAGTTGTTTTTTCTTTCGAACTCATAATCAACAAACAATTTGCTTAATTTGCAGAAAGTTGAGACAATTGAGAGAACAGAATTTAACTCAATTTAAATGATGGTGAAGAAAGAGAAAAAAAGTTCTTCATGGTAACTGAATTTTCATGATCATCATGAGGATAAAAAACACCAGCAATTTGTCAAGGTATTCAATTGATAATAAAAGAAAAGATTTGCTCAAGTAAATTGAGAAGATGCAAGATGATAGTTAATTCACAGAGAAAAAGGTAAAGAGAATCATCATGAAAAGAACTGAAAATTGTCATGAAGAAAAAACTGAAAAAGGGAAAAGTGATGATGAAGAATAAGATGAGGATGAAGATGATTATATTTCCTCATCTATTTTACACCCTTGATCAATCGTGTAATTGATATTGTAATGGATTTGAACACTTGAGATACTTTATTGTCAATTGATTGTTACTGTAAATCTTAATTGTTGTCTATTTGATCATTCGCTGAATTGATAATATTGAATAACATTTTTATTGATAATCAATTATAATCGTGTCACAATCACTTCAAGCAATTCAGTTGTACGATTTTGTAAATTGTTGCCTCTGATTCTTGTTAATTGTTCTAGTTGATTTGGTTTGTTAGATTTACTTGAACGTTTTAAGCTGAGTTCATTTTATGCCAAATTGTGTTTTAGTTTCCTCAGTTAAACAAATAATTAACAACTTAATTGTTGTCAATTCTGTTGATTTTTCTTGTCAATTGTTCTCGACTAGTTAATACATCTAAATTAATTAAGGTTTAGTTTAACAATGTGTAATGTTATTTCTTGATTGCTATGATTAAGGTCACTTTAATCAGTTAATTAATAATCATTTCAATGAGAAACCATTGAAATTGTTGCTTAATTGTTTCACTGAAAAAGGTAATAACCTTTATCAATGAAGACTTTTAAAGTTAATTTGTCAAATTAATAGATTTGATTGTTTCAGTTGTAGTTACATTAATCATAATCAATGTGAAGATCAATCAATTGACCCAAATATGTTTCAGTGGAAACAATTAGTTGATTGTTGTAATGACAAATGATCAAATTAAGTCTTTAATAAAGTTTCTCAATGAAAAAGGCAGAAAAGTTAATTTGATCAAGATGATCAATGAGATAACTTTGATTTGTTGTCAAATTGATATCAAGACAAATATGATGATAATGATGATAATATTGACGATTGATCAAAGGTATCGTGTCCAGTCAATGGTCAGTAATTGTCATAGTAACTTGCGTGCTAAAAGTAGGAAAAAATGAAAAAAGAAAAAAGATTCCATTCATATCAAATCTTTTATTTTGCTCATTTCCGGAAGTTGTAATATAAATAGAAACTTTCATTAGGCGATTCCTGCAATTTCCTTGAGTTCCAATTGTCACCGTAAAGAATAAGCAAGAAGAAGGAATCGATCATGAAACAAGAATTCATGTTCAGATATTCAGAGCTTGAAGAATAAGGTTTTAATTTTCTTTTTCGCTGAATTCATTTCACAAGTTCTGTTTCATGATTCTTACCTTCGAGTCTCTTTCCCATCAAGTGAAGATGAGAGAATACAAAATATGATATTATTTTTCTTTTGGCATTATTACAATATTATTATTCTGATTACCATTATTATTAACACCATTATCATAGCTGAATTGAGATCAGGTTAATTCAAGGAAGATATTAATATATCTATGGAACAGCAACTTTTCATGTCTCTCTCTCTCTCTCGTTTTTTCACCTCTTCTTTTACCATCCCAGTCTTTTAATTTTATCGAATCAACCAGAATCATACCTCAAGTTGAATAGGATGGAAACTGTTTCTGTTCAACTTTATTCTCTCAAACAGGGAAGGAGTTGTGAGTATCAACAGGAAGTAGATCATCAGAATGATAATATAATAATAAGTATCATAATGGAGCTTCATCGTGGTGGTTATCTTAAGATGTATGAGTGACCTTTAAAAGTTTTTTACAAGTCACTTTGATAGTAATCAAATCATGAAGATCATGATCATACTCATAATTTGATTGATTGTGATTCAATTTGAAGGGTTAATCATTAACGAGACTATAGATTAGCTTGGAATCAATGTTTTTCTTTGTCCAGAAACAGAAAACTGACCATTAAGAGTGAAAGTTTCACTTGGAAATTTTTTCAGAACTTTTTTTCGAGGTAAACATTAAACAGACAAATTTAAGTTGAAAGTTTCTTTACTCTCTCTTCAAGATATTCGATTCCATGTTTGCTCATTGGTGTATCTTCGTTGATTCATTTTTATCTGATTCATTCATGGATCAATTGGAATCAATAAAATCTATCACCATCATCTCAATTCCTGAATTCATTCAGTAAAATCCAGTATATTTATCAACAACATATGGGTGTTCATTATCATCATCATTAATAATCAATTGTATAATTTACAATCAACTAGAGCATTGAAATCATGTTAATGTTAGTGAAACCCGGAAAAAGCAAAAAAAATTGGTAAACAATTTACTAATTGAATCTAATCAATTGCCTTTGCTCTGACAAATCTTTCTGTCTCTTTCTTGATTACCTGAAATGTTACATAACCAGCTTTTAATTCACTGAATTAAATCAGTATTGCAAAGGAATAAGGTGTAAAGTAAGATTGATCGAGGAAAATATCGAATATTGGAAAGATGAGATGAAGATAATTATGATCAATGATAATTAAGAGATTGAGAGTAACTTGATTTGATTGTTCTAACGATTTGTTTTCCTTTTATTATGGATGGAAAACAGTGAGATTGGACCATGAGAATTGATTGAATTCGGTTCAATATACTTACACATCTCTTGACCGAGAAGCCAAACTTCAGGTTTGGAATGAAGTTCGATAAGAACTGTGGGCATACAAACGATAAGTACAAAGAGATCGGCGAAACTTAAATTGATAAGGAAAATATTGGTTGAATTTCGTAGCTCTTTTGTTCGGCAAACTACAATCGGAACCAGAATGTTACCTGTTGTTCCGAGAATTAATATAAGTGCACAGAAAATTGTCGCTGAGGTTCTCATATAATAAGGAAATTCGGGACTGATCATTTCACTTCCGTTCATTTCGAGAGATGAAGATGATGATGAAGATGAGATCCAATCTGAGGCGATCGCTGGTGGTGAAGTTGAACTAATGCTTGATGTGTGAGTGCTGGATGATGGTGTTGTCGTATTAAAATTCAAAGGTGAATGTACATTAGGTGCCGATGACGTTAACGGTGCCACCAACGGCAATGAAATAACGGGCAATATTATTTTGTACATTGACTCGGAAGTGGCCATCAATGTATTTGATATTGAGCTTATTGTAGGTGGTAATGATAGTGGTTGTGTTGTTGTTGAATCAACACTTGAATTTGTATCAAATTTATGATGGTTGTTATTGCCGTTAGCAATTAAGGTTGAAATTGTTGTTACATTTGAAGGTAAGTAGGATAAATTTGATTGTATCGATGAGGCAATTGAATGAAGACAATCAGCTGATAACATTATTATGATGATGATAAATATTAACCATTAATATTGAGAAAGTTAATTGTTTTCACATCTAATTGAGTATTTATACATTTCAAATTGTTGTTTAAAGGTAACAATTTAATTGATGGAAATTAACTGTTGTCATTGGCAACAAATAGTTTATTTTATTATCACAGTTACGATGATTAAAAAACGAACATGAAATAATTGAGTCCATCGAAAACAATCGAGAAAACTAATGAAACATTTAAGTGAAAATCATGATGAGAATTTAAATTGTTGATTGATTGTTGGTCAAGTTTAGTCAAATAAGATGATGATGATGATGTTTACAATTTAGATGATCAAGTGGGTGGATTTGTACATAGACAGAGAGGGCAAAGGTAAGAGTGAAGGAGGAAAAACAAGAGATGATAAATGTAAGTGTGATGACAATTTTTGATTATGACGAAGACAAATTATGTTATCAAAAAAGCAGAATTGATAATTAGCGTGAGGAACAATTTAATGTTGATGATTAACTGTTGATGTCTTTTACACGATCGTTAATGAATCAAATTGAAATGATGGCGATGGAAACATGATGAGAATCAAGAGACAATGAAAGAGATGAAACTTTTTTCTTCTTCTCTCTTTTTTCAAGGAAAACTTTTCAATCCAAATTTTGTGTTCTCACAAATTCATTCATCATCCGAGGTGAGTATTATTTCATCACCACCATGATGATCATCATCATTTTCAATCACCTTAACCATTGAGTCGACAATTGAAACTGGATTAACCATTCACAGAATAAGTTGTTCATCAATGTTTTCCTAACGCATGGTTAGTGGATCAATTTGGTAGGGATGATGATAAAGATGATAAGGGAGAGAGAGATAGAGAGATAGAATCAGTCTTCTCTTTCATTTATCTTCCTCTTTCTTTTTCTCATCTTCTCTTTCATGTTTTCTATTTTTTTTACAAGTTCCATTGATTCTTAAGATAACTTGAATTCTATCATTTGATTGACAATCTTATTTTGGTAACACGTTATTTAACTGTTAATTATCAGCAACAATTTAAACGTGATTCAGATTGTAATCAGTTGATTGTGTAAATAATTAATTGATAAAAATTGATCAGGTAAAAAGGTGGAGATACAATTAAAATTAATTATCATCTGATTAGACAGTTGACACTTCATTAATCATTTTCGCCTTTTATCAACAGACCATGAGGAAATTATAATTGATTACAATTGGAAACAATTTAACAATCAGCAAACTGTTATAATCGCAACATTAATCACATAGCATTTAAATTGTATAATTAATATTCACTTGTCACCAAAATTGTAACAATATCTAATCTATGATTTAAATGAATGATCTCATTGATTGGATTGGACAATACGAGTTTTTTATGCAACAATTAGCATTAACTGTATTGGACAAAGTGTCCAGTTTGTTTGTCTTGACAAAAAAAAAAGTTTCTCATAAAAATGAGATTAATTTCAACCTACACAATTTAAGAGTAAGTGATTAACATGATAATATAAACAAATCATCACGAATTAATCGTAAGTGCTAATGGTTTAATCATGATGATGGATTAATATTATTACAACACGAAGGAAGCAATAAAATAGGAATAATGATTAGTTGATTCATCATGAATTTCGTCGACACGAAGATAATCATCAAAATTTTATAATTCCAAGAGGATTAAACTCTTAAACAGTGAAATATTGGATTAGACTGGACAACTGGACAGTCTTTCAACTTAGAACAAAATTGGGAGAATTTTTTGCAGTTCGAAAAACTTTTTTCGAATTAAAAATTTTCTCTTCATTCAGTTGACTACTATGAAAGAAAACAAGACTTTTTCATTTGATTTTCTAATTCGAGAGAAAGTTCTAATGTAATTCGAAAAGCAAGTTAACGGTTCAGAGTAACGAATTTCAATTCGATTAAAAATTGAGTAGATTAATTGTCAAATATCATAGGGCAATAAACGAGGTAATCTATTAATAAGAAGCATCGAATTGTTTAGTGAATAGAAAAAAGTTCTAATGATGAATCTTGTTTAATGTCATTCGATACATTAAATTGTTATCATCAGTATTACAAGAGTGACATAAATTACCATGAATATTATCACATGTAATATGTTATCATGTTCATGAATGATGATTCAAATGATTACATTGATTATGGTGAAAGAAACAAAATAGAAAGAAAGAAAAAACGTTTCGATGATTAAGTTTCCTACTATTAATTATATCGTAACAATTTAATTTGTATCCATTGTGTTGAGGGTAATCAATTGTCACAATTAACCGTTAGGAATGATATTTGGTATGTTGGTCAAGATTCATTGTCGCAAGTTGACCAGAAAAATAAACAAGAGACATCATGATGATTGTTATTGTTATCAAAAGCAATTTAGTTAAACAAATTGAATTAATATTGTTTAATCAATTTCAATGGTCAGTTACAATTGCTGATGATACATTTTCAATCGCCATTACAATGACGATTATGACCAAGACAAATCAAAATAAAGGTGATCAACTGTTTGATAATAACAATCAAGATTAATGTGCTACAGTTAACGATTTGTTTCTTGCATCATTATCATCGTTGGTCATCATTTAGTTGTCCAGTTTTGTTGTTATCTGTCTGCTCGGACACAATGTACTAATAATGATTGTCCAGCATTTTGTTTTTCATGGTACATTTAACTATTATAAGAAGCTTAATCATTTCTGTTTCAGGTAACCATTAAAATGATATAAGTCAAATAAACAGTGAATAATAATAATCATCATGATACATGTTCAATGATAGTCAAACGAATGGTCAAGCATTAAAACAAAATGGTCAGAAGGTTATCTAAGTTGGAGGTCATTACAGGTTAGTATTTTTATATTTGAATGAAGTTCTCTCTCTCTCTCTCTCTCTCTCTCTCTCTCTCTCTCTTATCATTTCTCTGTATTTTATCAATATGCAACAAGAGTATTGATAAAATTATCAGATAAACGTTTTCATGGACATCTTGTCAATGGTCACTAGTGGTCAATGGGTTTTCAATGTTACCTTGAAAGTCTCAATGTTAACTCACCTTCAGTAATGTTACCATTACAACGAATCACATTCTGACGTGAGAGGGAAAATGGAGATAATAATAAAAGAAATAAGAAGATGATGGAGATGTAAAAAACCAATGAAATATAAAAATCCAAAGTAAAAGCTTGACCATTATAAGTATTTATATTACTGTCCATCTCAGAAGATTCTAATATCAACTTTATCCTTTTTTACTTATTTATCTTCATCCTCATCACATGTTGATAAAAAAGTTTCTTCGTGTTCAAAATCATGATTACACTGAATTCCCATGAATCTTCAACTCGTTTCTTATATTATTTTGATATCGTCCAGGAGATTTACTGATTATCAGAAAGAAGATAATTAATGACTATGATAAAAAATAGTCTTTCTATTAAATTAAATGATTGACAATCGTTAAATTCAATTGTGAAATAAGTGAAAAATTAACCAGATTGAAAAGTTGATAAGTTTCTCAGTTCATGATATGAAAGTCAAATGAGATATCTTTTGATTAAACCATTGGGTTACATCCTAATGATTATTATCATGTAACTTCATGGGACAGATGAAATGAATAACAAATAAACTATAAGAAAAGAAAAGAGAATAGAAGAGAAAAAATCGAATATTAAAGTTCTTTCTCAGATTCATATCTCCTTTTCTTCATGATACTATAGTATCTATCTTATTATGACTTCTTTACACCACCATGTTCATTTAGATTACCTTTAACTCTCATGACAAGATCAATATTGAATAATAATTTAGATGATAACTGAATCAAGAATCAAATTATCTTTCGACACACTATGGTTCAGGTCACAAATTCATGATCAATTCATGATATGTATAATATCTTTACATTATGGAGATGATGATTATCCAATGCGGAGAAAGTTAATCAATAATCACCAATTAAATCAATTAAAAGCGAACAGTTGATGAACTGTATCGACAATTTTATTTGAAATATATAAAGAAATTCATGAGGAAAATGAACTTTCATGGAGGAGAAAAGGTTGAATTTCAACTGAATCATTATAAAAATGATTCAATCTTAATATCAAATATTATTCATCGAAATTGTAACTAAATATTAGCAGAAGTAATAAAAAAGTTCTGTTGGCCAAAATAAACTATCTTCATAATAATGATGATAATCTCATTAAAATTTACAATTCAAACGATAGCCTGTAGCTAATGATTGAAAATAAAAACTAATTGTTTTAGTTTGTATCGAACAGGAAATAAAAAGTTCAGTCGACTTGAATCTCAGTTTCATATCTTTATGTTGAATAATTAAATTTCATATCAATCAACCAGAATAACCTTGAATCCCAGGCAATTAAAGGTAAACATTGGTCAAGATGATAATTATCACCATGATGACCATCATCTTCACATTTATATTTGATTAGATTTTGATAACCTTGGTTATCCTCACTGGTAATCAACTTTTCCCAATAATTTATCATTATTAACCAGCAGCTCTTATTAACATTAGTTAATTGTATCATAACAATTAATGATGGTCACTGGTAGTGTCCATCTTGTTACAGAATTATTGATTTAGAAAATTTGAAATTCGATAACTTTTTCATTTCTAACTTTTAAGTTTCTATTTTAATCAATAATTTGCAGCTCATCATAATTAGCAAAACATGTTAACTTGCCAATTTATAAATTGCTGTTGATAAATTAATTGTTTTCAATGGAATCTAATCCGATCATGAATTATTATTAGACTAGACTTGCCAATTAATCTGGTTTAGGTGATTAAGGATCAACATGTTTGTTAATTGTTGTTGGTTAATCTTGAAAAACAGATTCAACAACAATCAAATTGATGTTAAACTTCACAAATCAACTAATCACTCCAACTAATTACTATTTCATCATACCCATTGTTTATCACTTCTCATAACCTCAAAGGAGTATTTCCAGTTTCCAATTACATTGATTGTGAATAATTTATTAATTGTAAGTATTGAGATTGTCAATTATTAACATTTCATGTATTCAAATTTTAATGGGTAATCAGAACCACGATAAACAAACACAATGAACATCGTAGTTGATTAATCATGTCAAACAATTTACACTAATTTACAAAGCAACAAAGTTAAACAATCAAGTGGAAAGATTAACTGATCAACTAACAGTTAATAAATTGTTATTATATTAGCATTGGCAAAGAATCAAACAAACAATTAATACACATAATCAGTAATCTAAAACCAGAGAAATATTTGAACATGAAGATGAATTTTGTTTGATTGTTGCCGTTGATTTTCATTTTTTGATCAGTTAATCCATCAGGAGAAAAGTCTTAATCTGATTGATTCGCTTTGATCGATGGTAATTTAATCACAATTAGCTATCAACTAAATTTTACAAAGAGCAAACTCCGAGATAAGCTATACTTTTAACCTGAATAGATCGGTAAAGTTTCAAATCGATTCTCAAGTGTAATCATTTAATCAGCTTCATGGTAACCTGAACATCATGTTCAATGATTAACATCTGATAATTGAGAAAAGTTTGTAAACATCATCAACAATTTAAATATTACACTTATGGCCAAAATTAGTTCTGTAATCTTCTCAGCTCGAATCGGTGAATTTTTCAGTTCGAGAGGTAAAAGTTCAGTGGAAAGGAAAAACTTTGTCAAAAACATTAACCGAAAAAAGAAATTTTCGAAGCAACAGAAAAAAAATAACTTCGAACTGAAAAAGATTCCAAACGGTAGGATAATAATATTCAACTATTGTCATTATTATTATTCTTTTTGAACATTTCGAGTTGAGAACTAAGTTCGCAATCAATCAAGGGAATTGCAGGTTGAAGGTGTATTTCTGTCCCTAACCTTTAGTATCATTATCATTTAGAAGACACCAAGGGAATTTGAGAAAAGAACAAGTTTTTTTTTCTTTCTTTGTGTTTCAAAGGATTCGAAACTCAGTCTCAGGATATAGTCTACATGGTGAAAGTTGAATGTTCTCACAGTTGATGCTCTTGAATTCGAATTCAAAGGTAGAATAGAACAAAAAAACTAAAATAACCAAAATAGTGTCGAAAAATTTAGTTGTAGTTATTTTTAGAACTTTTTTTCACCACATAACCTCAATGGATCAATAAAATTGAAATGATATGTTGGGAAGATCATATAACTTTCAATTGAGGTTTTACAGGTGAGATACAATTGGATGAATAATTTAAACTTCATATTGATTGATTGATTTTTTCGACTTTTGTTCAATTTTAATTGTGATTTACATGGAATCTATAAAGAGATATGATGAGATTTCTTTCTCTCTGTAGTTTATTGCATCATTTAGATTCTGTTGAACTGATAGGAGTTCTGGTGAAAGTGATTAGCTGATTTAATCAATGGTTCAGGATGTTTCCTGATATTTTCACAATTAAATGAAAATGACCATTGTCCACCATTAACCTTTTATCTGATTATTACTTATTGCTATTCTGGTCATTAACTGGCCATCGATGGTCAGTTAAATTCAATCTAAAAGTTTAATCATGATTTTCAGTCTCAAGATACATCCTGGTATCATGGTCTTCAGCATGATAATATCAAGTATCCTTATTATTGTTATTATATTTTTATTTTTGCTAAACAATAGAGGTAATCTCATTGGACTGACCAACACCTAAATCACAATCTAAATTGGTCATTTTAAATCAACAATCTAAATCCTCTTAAATTTAGATACCACCTACCGAGAGGCTTTGGTCGTCAAATGGTCACCGTTATTGATCACATCTACCATCAGATCACATTTGATGGAGTTCAAATCAAAATAAACCAAATTGATGACCATTGGTCATCGTTAAACAAAGGGGGGAGGATAGAAAAAGGAAAAAAGAAAATTTCAATAAACCAAAAATCGATAACAATTAACTGATGTACAGCAGAAATGATGATCAACAAACAATTAAAGGACAATAATATTGCTAAGGTGTGTTAACCCAATGATATTTACATGAAGGTAATGGTCAGAAATTGGGTCAACTATTAAATTAATCATGGAAACAGAAACGCCATAAAAAGTTTCATTGTTGCCATAAAACCAATACAGAAAGTCAATGGTTTGTGATATTATATCTTTAAAAAAAATTCTAACCAAATTATTCGTGAGATTAGGGACAAATCTCGATAAAAGTTCAGTCAATTGTGGTTATTACAGACAAATGAATAATATTCAGGGTGAAAAAAGCGCAATAGATGAGTGAAAACATGAGAATTTTTTAATATTATTGAAGAATCTGAATAGGTTATAAGCTTGAACTTTGTTTCATATCCATGGAGTGATAACATGATAACTTGGATTGAAGATTATCATGAATAATGCCCACGCCCTAGAAGTTAATTCTATTATATTATATTTGAGAAAAAAAGAGAAAATTTTAATCTCATTTTCAGATGATTGATTAAAGTTGAGATAATAATAAGGTAACAATCAAGTTCACTGACCTTTGCCTGAGGCCTCCATGGGACATAATCTTAGTTAATTATTGATTCTGATTCTTTGGATACTTTGACATTTACCTTGATTATCTATGTGAATTGTTAATAGGTTGATATGTTAAAACTACGATTAAATTGTTACCTTTGCTATTTCTCAAGATATTGATTGTAATTCATGAGCTCTGATTATTCATGAATCCGAACTCAAGTTCAATACCTTTCACTATTTTTACCTCATTATTTCAGTACTTAAAAGATCAAGATTGATAATTTAATTATAACAATTCAAAAATAGATGATAATCAATAATTGATTAAATTTTTTTTTCCATTTCATTAGATGAAAAAAAAACGGTTCTCAGTAATTAGAGTTAATTATTTGGCTGAAAGAAGATTAACTTTTCAATGTTGATCTTTTTTCTAGTTCGCAATTTTGTTAAATAATTAATCCAATTTGAGCTAATTAAATTGTTTACAATTATATGAATTATTAATTTCCATTTGTTGGAATGACACAATTTTACTCTGGTTAATTGTTATTATTGATTATCGATTGTATTATCATTAATATCAATCAACGGAATTGATACTATTTGTTATTAAAAGGTTTGGAAAAGAAATCAAATTAATCTAATTGTTTGTGTGTCAGAAAAAAAAATGATTTAAAAATTAGAAATCTAATCAATGTTAAGTTAGAATGAGAGAAAAAGTTTTCCAATCAAATTGTGATTCTGATGATCAAGAAAAGTAGATTAACTTTCAATGTTAATCAGAATCAACGTTTTCGTTGATCATGAACAATCAACTAATTAAACACAAATCGTAATGTTAATCTTGATTGATGAAGGAAAAAAACTTTCACCAAATAATATTTGTTCCTTTGTGATAAATTTACATGATTAACTTGAATCAATAACCTTAACAGTTATGATAAGTAGATATTAATAATTACGATTAAGTTAATCATCTGTACCATGATTAACATATTCAGCCATCAGTTGTATTTACAATTAACTCTTAGATGAATAAGAAACTCAGGTGAAAAAAAAAATCCAACGGAAGTGACCGTTGAATAAATTACCATAAAGATCATTAAGTTAATCAGAGTCTCATAAGACAATCTAATGACCATCGTTAATTTAAATTGAATCAACATTAGAATATGTTAATCAACATTTCAGAGTCAACAACATTTACCAAGTTAATTGTTGACAATTCAAATGATTTCTAGTGTCACCTGGTGCTGGCAACAATTAACCTCTCATGGGATTCACCAGTAATTGAATTACAATCTGATCGTTATAATTTGTTTTTAATCATCAAATCAAACTAATGAAACTTGTACACTAATTGTTGATTGTTTCCGATGCTCTAATCGAGGTAAACTTGAGTAATTAAATGATTGATTGTTAATAACTGGAGGCTTCATCTTGGAAGTGTAGATACAGTTGATTGTAATGGTGATGATTTAGTTAATTGTGGATATGGTAATTCACGAAGTTGAGAAGTGGCTCTTTCAATTGATTTGTATTTAGTTAATCTGGTAAATGGAAAAATTAAAAATTGGATAATAATTAGATTTAATTGTCACTGATCAACAAAAAATAGTTTACTTACTCAGGTTCAATTAGCTCAACTGGATCAATTGTATCTTTGGTAAATAACATTGGTAATAAAAGGATTGCAACAATTAAGCAAACACCAAGTGGAATGTAAATACAATACAATAGATCATCTTGATAATTACGATAATTAAAACTGATTATTGACATTGGAATTAAAATTGTCTCATTATCAGGCCAAATTGGTCTAATTGGGGATAGAGTTATATTGTTGTCTAAATTGATTAATATTATGTCATCAATCTGATGGACAATTGGTTCCTATTATAAAGAGACAGAAAATTGAAAATCAGCTTCACAATTAATGACCAAAAGTGGACAATTAAGATTAGCATTCAATTAGCACGATAATCCTTGTTAGAGAAAGAGAAAGAGAAAGAGAAATGAATGAGAAGGAATTTTTTTCATTACATTAATACTAAGAAATTAGTGGCTTTCGGATTAGCAGATTAATGGAAATTGTGACTTACTTTAATCATCTTAAAACTGCACCAATCACAAAAGAACTTTTTGTTTCGAAAAAAATGTTCGAATCGAGTGAACTTATATCGAGATGGACAAGGGTCTCGATTCTTAATTGGCTCAACTTCTCGCTCTAAATCAAGTAAATCTCGCGAGAAATTATTAGTACTTCCAATTCTTATGATTACTCTAAATATTACCAAAAAAATAAAAGAATAAATTAAAAGATTATCAACAATTAACTGGATTAATTAGATTTACCCTTCTTTCTCTTTAGGACTTGCAGGTAATTGTCCACCTAAATCTCGAGGAGAAACGATCTTGGTGAAATAAATGTCCTTCGATTCCTTCCAAAGTAAATCTCGATAAATTGTCAGTAATTCAGTTAATCTTTCTTGATTAAAAATATTTTCTAAATTGAGATTAGTCAATTTAAACTGTAATTCGTAAAGAGCCAAATCTAAAGAGAAATTAATAAAAATACGATTTTAATGATAAGTAGAAAGCAAGTTAATTCAACAATTCTCAGCAATTAGATTACTCACTTTCTCGAGGCGAAACTTGAATTCGAATTGTATCTTGATAAGTATCGTAAGAGCGTTTGTTGATTGCAATCACTTCGATGGTGAAATTGCCAGGGGACTTTGGTGTTCCATAGAGATATGCAAATTTAGATCCATTTGGAAATCGATAGTTAATCCAATTTGGTAGATCAGGAAAACCTTTGATTGTTGGTATGAATTCAAATGGATCGGGTGAGTTAATCGTTTCTCCAAATTGTCCATCGTTAATTGTTAGGAAAAAAGCTTCAGTTGTATAAGCAGAAAACACTTTATCCAAAGATGATCCTAAATAGATGATAATTAACAAAAAGACATGAAGACACAATCAACAGAAAATCAATTAAACCAACAAACCTGAATGAATATAAATTATGAGCCAAAGTGTGGATACAATGTAACGGGAATATGTTGATCTCATAGTTATCAAGGGAAAGGAATAATTTAAATTGTTGGATTACAATGATTAAGGATTAGATTACTTGAGAAAAAAGAATACAATTAAATGTGAGGATTAAGATTCCATTCAGTAATTTTTTCCGGTTTAATCTAAATTTAGATACAACAAGCGAAGCCTAAGAATTGGCAAAGAATCAAATTCATCTTCATCTTTGAAATAATTTATTTCCTCTTTTTTGAAATATTATTTTGATTTCTGAGTTGATTTTTGATACAAATCAGTGAGTAAATTTTTCAATCGTTTAACAAAACTATCGATATCATCTTTGGTTACACCGAGTCCAGCGGCAGCGGTTAAATATGAGTGACCATAATTGTTACAATGTGAACACCAATTGGTGAATTTGTAGCCCGATATATTTTTGGTTGAACTATTGGCGGCGATAACTCGAGCTCCGGAAACACCGCGAACGAATAACATTGACCCAATGGCGGTCTCTTTGCCATCGGGCTGAGAAAAGTTGTCCAATGTCATTGCGACTGAGATTTTATTTTCTCGAGTCTCTAAAACCCGTTCTCCAAATTGTGAGGCCACTAATTTTAATTGTTCCACAAGGTAGTCCATTTGTACTCGTCTTTCTTTAAGGTGCTTTTGGTATCCGTTGAGTCCTAAATGTAGTATTGTTATCAAAATATCCATTGATGGTACAGCTGATCCTCTACCTGGATAATTGCTGCTGATCTTGTTGACAATGGTTGAATCAAATCCCGCAATAATGGCCCCACCAACAGGAACCAGGAAATTTTTGTCCGTACTTTGGATATAAATGTCAACACGACCTGAGCGTGAGGCTTGATCAATAAGTGACATGCATTTGGTTGATGCTATTCCATAAGCGTTGTTAACTAAATGAGGTATTTCGTGTGAGGCAGCGAGTTTGGACAGTCCAATCAAGTCATCGGGAATTCGTGGAGCAAATGAAGATGTTGTTGACATAATAGCGACAATTTTGTCGGGTCCATGTTTCTCAATCAATTTAGATACTTCATCAATATCGGTTGCTAATGAATCGCCTTTTTTAACATTCTCAACAATCAATGGGATCAAACCCGCGGTTATAATTGATTTGAAACAAGATTTTTGGTCAATCCGAGGCCAAATCACGAATTTGCCTTCAGGTCGAGATTGTTTGAAAGTAAGTAAACAAAGTGTCAAACTCATTCCAGTTGCTAATGGGACAATAAGAGCACTTTTTGTATTGGGAGTTCCAACCTTTTTGAGGATATCTAAGAGAGATCATGACGAGACAAGAGAAAACAATTAACCGATATAATTAAACTTGACCACTAATTATCACACGAACACAAATAACCAGTTAAACCTTTTCTCACCCAGAACAAGGTTATTGGCCAGAATGTTGACCAACGATGAACCAGCAGCTTTAGGTTGGATTTCACTGATATCTCCTGACCTTCCATTCCATGACCCATGTTGAAATGTCGACGAGCGACAATCGAAGAGAAAAATCTTGATTCTCTTTCACCAATTCCACAATTATGAAGGAAATTATTACTCTCCATCAAGGATAATCTTTGCAATAACAGTTCGATGTTCATCTCATCCCAGGCTTCAATCGGCGATCGTCTTTTCGACAAAAGTTCACTAATCTGTTTCTCACGAGTTGCGATCGAATTGAACGCTTGTTGTCCATAAGTCGAACCAATCAGTCGAATAACATTCTCAATATTATCCATAACTCGCGTGTAAACAAAAAACGCACCAAACAGATGAGAATAAGATGAGGATGAGAATCCAAGTCACACCAACGGCGATCACCAAATTGAAGACAAAAAGAGATCACAACCAAACAGGTTCTCTCTCAATCAGCTACACAATTAACAGAAGAAACAAGAAGAAAAGGAAATTGGTTAATAAAGGAAATCAAATTAAATTGCAGAGTCACAACGCTCTTCAGAGTTGATTGCTTTTAAATCTCTTACAATCAAGTGAGATCCTTAAGATGAAGGAGTATAAAACTCATACCAGAACCATAAGGTAATAATAGTAAAGGTGAAAAAATCACTTGGTCAAGAATCCGTAACAATCAACATCATCACTTTGATAGAAAACAGAATCACCTAATTTGAAGCTAATAAAATAAAAGGAAAAGAATGAAAAAAAGGTTAATGAATGGAAGGACATTTCGAAAACAGAAAACACGATTGTAAACATAATTACCTTTTAGTTGCTAATTATCTTCATTGAGAAGACCAGAAGTTAATCAATTCCCATAGAAAATGATAAAACTGAATAACATGTGAATGAGAAAACAAAATAAACAAAAGATCCTCTTGGTTACCGAAACTGTTTATCTAATGAATGGGAGGGAAAAACGTTGTCAGGCTCAGAGAACCAGGAAAAGCATGTCATTCAAATGAGAAGCGTGTTAATTGTTGCCATTAGTTTACAATCAACAGTTGGATTGTCATTCGATAGGAACTTTAATCATTAGAAAAAGTGTCTATTCGGGTGATTTGATGATTAACATTCTCCACCTTTGATTGATAATCTTTGTTTACTCTTTTTGATTAGACAATAAATCGCAATTGAAAAAATTAGTCGATTAATTAATGGAAATTACTATCTTATAGTAAAGATAATTAGAGTTTTTATCTCATGTTATGTCTCAATTGAATTGATTGAAATCGATACAATCAATTGAGAAAAGTTTAATCTTTACTATCGATGGAAGGTTTTTTCTTTTGATGCAACTTGATTATGATTCCAATTGATGGAAAATAGTCATAACTATCATTCTATCATTGGAAATTTGATTAATGCAACAATTAAGTTTCTCCTTTGAATGATTACTTTTAGGTGGTAAAGATATTTTGTTAATAGAATAATTTTATTATCAAATTACCTTTTTTTTTCTCTCTCGTATAATGTAATCGAAACGAAATACGAGCCATGATTAATTGATAAATGACCGTTAGGTTGAAATAAAATGGACACAAAGAAAAGAAGTTAATTTAAATTAAATTATCGTAACAGAGAGAAGTTTCTCTGACAGCCGTTTATTAAATTTCTCCTTTTGAATCTTTCACTTCGTGTATGTTTTTTGTTGGTACTTTAGTGGATTTTTAGTGGAAAATCTTTGACGATCGGTTGTTAGTTTTGTCCTTTTGATTTTAGTGGTTTTTTCTGTTTTCAGGGGTTTCAATCCATTTTTGCTCCTTGCTGATTGTTAGTTGTTTATAGATCGTCCAGGTCAAAATCTTCCAAATCTTCATCACCTATTTCTAAGCTTAAAAAGTCCACTCTGTATCGAAGTAAACCTGGAGAAAGTAAGAAAAAGTAGAAAAAGATTAACATTAGATGAACATAATGAGTTGAGAAACAAAAAGTAAATCGAGCAAAGAGATTGAGAGAAAACCTGTTGGTAAAACAAACTGGTTAATATGTTATCATTTTCACTGTTATAGTTACTCATTTATTGTTAAATTGCGCAATTTAATGTAGGTTGTTGTGCAAAAAACACGGAGAGAGTAGTAGCTAAACAGGCAGAGAGTTAAAGAGGCTACACAACCAGCACCTCATTTTGTATGGTAAAAATGACTGACGATTTTTGTTGCTCTCTCATAAATATTAATGTCCACATACCTCCGATTCCTCCAAATCCTTTGACAAATTGTGATCCTTCCTGAGACCTATCGGTAATTATTTCTAAGGTTGCACCAAATTGTTTGTAATTGTTGGCTAACCATTCCAATAGCGGCATAGATTCTACTAATTCTAATTCTACTCCAGTTTCTCTATCGACGAAATGTGATTTATCCCTTTCTTGGACAGGGGTTAAGTGTAAAATCTTTTCTTCTCCCGTTGTATTATTCTTAAGATTATATCGCATGATATCTAAATTTTCCCAGGCGATCAGAATTTCAACTGATCCCATTTCCAATCCTTTTAGCGTATCCTCAATACCAAAACAATATTTTCCAGTCTCTTGAGAAATTTCATCAAAATAACGTCCTAGGAGTAGGGAAAAAAAAGATAAACAACAATATAAATATCAGAACGTATTTAAACAAACAGAATTTCATTCTTTTTTCGACAATTCGATTTGGAGATGATGAAATCAGTAAACTTACCAATGAGCTTCTTTTCTTGGATAAATTTGACATTTGATAATACTTCAGCTGACAATTCTATTGCTTGATTGAACCCATTCTCTCCGCCGTAAGAAACATCGACTAATTTTAAAATTTTTGCTTGTAGCCTCTGAAAATAATAATAATTAAAGAGTTTAGATGATTAGTAAGATGAACATTTCGTAAATCAAGCTGTAGATGTTAATAACTTACCGGATCAAACATATCCGATTGACTTAATTCCGTTTTAAAATCAGCCGAACCAGCTAGAATTAAACCAGCTATATTGACCTTATCATTGCTAATATAAAGTTGAGTAGCAACCTCGGCCACTTTTCTTACATAGTTGTGACGTTTTTCCATACGCAATCGAGCAAAACGTAGCGCAGATTGACCACCACGACCTGGAGGAGAAAAGAGAAAAATATAAAAATAGGAATGAGTAAGTGATCAGAAGGGAAAATTGTTCACTTGTAACTCCCATTATCTCATTTCCTGTGATAAAATTGTGATGATATGAGATTTTGTATTTCACAACTTATGAGATTTACCATGTGATCGTTATTGAAACAAGAAAATATCAATAACTTACCATGTTTCTTAGGTAAATCTACGGTAAATTTATGAAGAACGTCCCTTGCATTTCCTTGTAATGTACCAAAAAGGGCTCCATTACCATCCATTACAATGAAACCAAACTTATTATCATCTGCGAGAAGCGCCGATAAGGCCTCGGTATGGAATTTATTATCACAGAGGTACAATGATGTGTTAATTGGTTTAAATGGTTCAAAGTCAATATTAACTTTCTTCTCCTTCCCTTCATCTGTTACAATAGTTCCACAATAGATAACTAGACCATTTGTAGGTACTCTGGTATAAAGTTTAAGACGCTGTTGGACTGATGTGATGGCACCCAAAACGGATAAACGATTAACTCGACTTTTAATATTTGATGCTGTTCCAAATTCATCAGCCAGCATTTTACTAACTCGAGATATTTGATCCTTTGGTGGTATAATAAGTGAAATCATGCTGGTTCCATTCCTACCAGGTGATGCAATGGAATTAGAGAAGCAAAGAAAAGAGAGAAAAAAAGAAAAGAAAAACAGTCAGACATATTATATAGAATATTGTTCTCAGTGTATCTAAATGATAATGTACGTGGCAATCTCACCCTCTGGCAGCTTCCAAACTCTTGATCAACTTTTTGATCTTCCAAATTTCAACATTTCGATCAGCATTGGTCTCCTCACCGTTACTGGCCATTTTAATTAAACCGATAAAACAGTAACAAAAAGAAACAGAGATAATCAAACTAATATGCACTTTCAGCAAGTAAGAAACAAAATCAACAACCTCACGAGGTTTCGATAAACTGACACTAGACGTCACCACAAAGAGACTTTCATTCGAACGATTTTTCTAATTGTCAATAAATCGAAACAGTTCATCGATCCAATCGAATAAATCGATTTTCTAAATTCTCTCATTTTCCATATTCTCTTAGTTCTCTTTCTTTTCGATCTTTACAATTAGTCAATTAATCGTCGAATCTAATTAATTAATCCAATTGAATCGAATATTTGAAGAAAATTATTCTCGTGTTTTCATCGCTTTTATTTTCCATGTTTTTTTTTGTTCTCGATTATTTTCTTCTTTCATTCATTCGTTTTCACCTTTTTCTCCATTTACCTGTCGTATTCCGGTCTATCGTCTTTCCGGATGTTCGAATTGGAACAAAAGATGAGATTTCTATCGTTAAAATAACCTCCATTTTGAATCGTCAACATCGTGAGTGGATAAATGTCAACATGTTCAAATTCTGTTCGTTCACAATGTAAGCTCATTGGCCTTTGAGTCTTTAAACTCTTTCTCTCTCACTTGACTAGATTGACTAATTATTGTTCATTACCTGTTGAAAAAATGGCCGTGAAAAATACAATTGAACTCAGTCAATGACAAGAAAGAAAATTGGAAAACAGCAATAACAATCATCTCCTGAAATAGCAACATTAGAGATTATTAATATTTGATTATCTTTTGCCAATAAAAACCTTCCTTATTGGTGAGAGAGGAAGAGAAATGGAGATTACCTGATTGAACAGAATTTACAAAACAATCAATTCCATCAATAGTAATCTCTGACCTTGTTTGACTATTTCAAGTTCAACATCAGGTTATAATTATTTCCGTTGGTAAGGAAAATCTCGTTGGGGCAAATCAAAAGGATAAAAATTCAACAATTAACCGGATTAACCGAAATGTAAACAGGAAAACCAAATTTTCTGTAAAATGTGTAAAATCCATGATAAACCAGAATTACGTTGGAATAACTTAATTGTATCAATGAGAAGTAATCATAAACTTCTAGTGATTAATCTAATCAGTGTTCATCATCAGGGAATTAATTTAGATAAACATCATTAGTGATTTAATTGAGAGAAACGATAATTGCTTTTCATCAATTTGATTATCGAATCATGTTAATCATCATCTTGTTTATGTAATCGATTCCAAATCTAACTAACCTGTTTCACTTAATTGTCAATCAAAACTACAATTAATTTCTAGTGAATATTATCACAAGGCTACTTAATCAATTACTAATTGTTTTCTTTTTGCCAACTTTCAATTGATCGCCTTTAAATCAAACCAATTCATTTGTCGAGCTATAAATCAAACTTTTTCCTCAATCAAGATGAGTCTTAATTACAAGAGACTCAATTAACCATCATCATCATCATAACATCCAAACTAAATTAACTCAACACTTTCAATCAAATGATTAACCTTTTCTCATCTAATCAGTCAAAAGTGAATCGTATCACAAACAATTTGGGAAACAAGGTGAGGTTAAAGCTCTTGAAATCGGTTAACAAAAAGTAAAGATTAAAAGATCAACAGGTAGATGAGATTAAAACTGGAATCGGGAACAGATTAGGAAAACAATTAAAATCGAAATGGAAAAGATAAAAAAAGGGTTAACATGGCGGCGAGAGAGTGGTGACCCCAAAACCTTGACCTTGAAGCCATTTAACTTTGTCCTCAATCGATTGGGCTCATTGTTGGAGATGAAGGTGATGAAGATGAAAATGAAGATGAAGATGAAGATGGAGATAAGATAAAGGCCTAAAAGTGAGTAATCTAAAAAGGTAAACTGGTTTGAGAGAGAAATGAGTCATCTGGAGACACCAACGAAATGATTACACGAAAAGGATTGGAAGAGAATCAGTTGATTGTAATCAACTTCTACTTTACCTTTAGAATCACAATTAAGGCGGAGACTTGAATAGTAACCAACCAACGAGAAGATCAACAATACAAGAAAAAGAGAGAAGATGAAAAATATTAGTTAAAAGTAGAAAAGAATATCAATAAAATTGAACATTTATCATCAATTGTTTTCTTTTCTTCAAGTTTACCTGTTTGATAGAAATTTACATTATTAGTATTGATCATAATCTCTCTGTCTCAATGTGACCTTAGATCTAAATAAATTCAAGTGTAAAGTAATTGTAACAATCAGTTAAATTGTTGATTCGATTGGAGTAAAGTCTTCATCTTAATCATAACCTTAATTTTCATCTTCAACTGTTTTCATTTGACAATTTGGTTGATACATTTAGCCAACAACAATTCATCACCATTTACATTTATTGTCAAATCCATCAACTGTGAACAACTGATACTGTTAAATTAACAATCAACAGTCAACAATTTACTGAACAACAAGTAACCAGTTTCAAATTGTCTACTCTTCATATCTCACAATCAACAATCAACAATCAACGTTTTCTCAATCTTCGTATTGAAACATTGAAACTCTTACAAAATGGTTCCAGTGTCAACTTTGTTCGTGGAGGAAAATACAAGAATCAATTGTGTAAAATTGATCGATAAATTGTTTGGAATCAATCGATCCAAATGTCCAGGGATTAAACATGTAGTTCGAGTTAATCTTCTCATGGTGATTCTGGTTCTCTTCTTCCTGTCCACTTGGGTCACTTTCTATCTCGCCTCCGTCGGTCTCGGCCTAATGGTTATCACTTTAATGTCGCTTCTTTAATTTCATCTACTTGATTTTTTCTCCTTTTCTTTCTGTGTCAAAATATTCGAGATGATGAAGAGAAAAGAGAACATCAGAAGGAGAAGAAGATAAAAGATGATAAGGATGAGGAAAACGATGATGAGTCGAAAGAGTCGCATCTTTAGACGAAACGCCTTGACATGATGTAAATAGCAATTCGAAAGTAATATGAATCCGTATGCAGAACATGCAATGGAAAGAGAGAGAAAGAGAAGATGAAAGACGAAATCATCTCCATCTATTCTCTTTCCTTTTCATCTTTATCTCTCTCATCCTCATCTTCTTCATCATCCTCATCTATTCAAAATTAGATCCAAAGGAATGTCTTATCCAGAGAGAGAAAGAGCAAAAACTCAAACAACTAAGAGTCACACGCAGTGTTAACTTCTCTTTCTTGTTGATAATTTTCTCTTTCTTTCTCTCTTATGAATGGATCATCATCATCATCATCATCATCATCATCATCTTCGTCTTCATCATCATCATCCCAATGAATCTTTGCTCCACAAACTAAACCGTTATTTGCATTGAAAATTTTTACATTTGTATAAACAACAATAAGATTACCAACTAACATTTTCCTCTCAATTCCATGTGATTGTGGTTCCTCATTCAAATGATTACCTTTAATTAACCAACCACAATCACCTTAAATTATTATTTTAAATTGTTATTCTTTCTCTACCTTAATTGTTTTATTTTTGATAATCATGATTAAAACTCTGGTTCCTCAATAATCTAAACCAATTTGTTTACTATTTTTATTGTTCTGTTGTGTAAAAGTTTCCATAGTTAATTGTGTTCCATTCATCAGTTACCATGGATTAATCGACAATCAGCTAATTGAGTAGATTTAAGAAAGAGAAAGACAGAGAGAGGAGATTAAAGGATCAGATTAACAGTTAGACACAATTAACCAGATGAATTAACTAATCAATCAATGGATAATTTAGTTCCAATTTTATTGTATATTCGTAATTTTCGTGAATATCGACATCGAGATTGTCGAGATGCATCACCAAGATTCTTGGTAAGTAATTAAACTTAATTGTTGAAAAATTAAATTTTTGGTTAATTGTGAAAATCAGTTTCAGTTAATCACAATCAAATTGTAATTAGATTAGGTCAATCTCCCTTCCAATATTTAGTAACTCACTGAAAGTGCTACTTGGATTATCAAAAGGTTATCATAGTTAATTGTTGTGGTTGATTAACGTCAATCTAATAATCTAAATGTCAATAGTTAATGATTAACTTTTGTATCATTTAAACTCGACTCTGCCAACAATTACGAGGTAATAATTAATTGTCCAAGGTTGATTATATTGATTTCTCACTTGAATTTCCCCTCTACATCTTGTTAATCATTTAAAAAACAACAATCAACTTTAATTTTGTTTTTTCTTCGAGTTAGTTAGTTAATTGCTGCAATAACAACAGAAAACATTAACCAAATCTAATAATAATTACCATTAACTGTTTATTATTTTAACGATAATAAACAAAAACTGAACTTCAACTCAGATCATTGATCCATTCAATATGTTTATCCAATCAACAGAATCAGTAAATCATTTTGATCAGTTAATTGTTGTTTCCTTTGTTATTTTCAATTCGGGTATCGATTGCCCGATTCTAATTAATTGCTTCTTACTTGCCAACAATTAGTTTTCCTGGTAGAATCACAATTAGAGACGCATCGATTGTCTGAATTAAGAAAACTGATTAACTTGATTATTTTACTTTTCTAAATTGTGTAACCTGATTTAGTTTACACACTCTCATTAATTCAGCTCATTAATTAGAAGCACAATTGTTGCTTCATTAAGATAATTAATTGACTCTGATCAAGTTGATGAATTGCTGACTAAATTGTTTTGAGTTAACAATTGATTAGTTAATACTTTTACCAGGATAACCACAATTAAATAATCAAAATTGTTATGATTACAATCAACTTCTTAGCAATCAATTTCCCTCTACATTGAAATGGTTTGACAATCAACCTTTTGATTTTGATGGAGGAATTAAATCAAACAATTAGGAGGAAACAAAATGATACTTGTCACAATTTAGCCTGATCATTATGATTAAGTAATATTATTTAATCCTGGTTATAATATTAATCATTGATTGATCATGTTTATTGTTTATATTGATTTGATTGTGAACTTTTTGAAAGACTGTAAACAAATCAACAATTAAGTAATCAAATGATTTCGTTAGTCTAAAAATACACTTAATCATAATTTAATCAGTCATTTATTTGAATTAACAACGAGGCTTGAAATTACCAAAGAATTGGATTAATTCCTGAATTTTTGTTCACTTAATCATGAAATCTAAATTGTTGATCGGCCTGAATCCAGAAATTAAGTAAATTACATTCAAAATGAAACAATTTGAATGAAATTTTTTCATCTCAATTGTAACTAAATTGTTAACTGTTAATCTTAATGATGTTGATGATAATCAAGATAATTGAAACAAACGTTGATCATTGTACTGATTACATTAAACTCTTTGATTGCTATTAATAAATTCAGTTGCTTCCATTATTGGAAAGTGGAAATTAACAGGAAAGTTAAACCAGAGGAATTTGCAAATTTAATTGTTGCAATTAACAAAAACAATTAATAACTATTACACAATCTAAATTAAGTGAATTCCTTTTTTCAAACTAATCATCAAAGGATTTGATCAGCTATTGATTTAGCAAAAACAATGAAAAATAATCACAATTAAAACTTATTAGCTACAGTTGTGGATAATTTTGATAACCAGTAATTAGTTAATTTGTTTAAAAAATAAAATAACGTTTAATCAACGTAACGATATAATTCAAAAAAAATAACTAACTTAATTTAGTTGATTAGTTTACTAATTAGTTGATTATGAATAGTAAATCATTGCGTTTTTTGCCGATTCATTGTATAATTATAATCATCACAATTAACTACAAATGAACAATGAATTAGCTGTTTTCTGTATTTTCCTTTGTTTATAATCAACACCAAATGACAGGCAAACCAGTAACTGAATTAATTTGATTATAATCAGTTTGAAACAATCCAGTGTGTACATTGAGAGTTCCCATGAATCACAATTAAAGTTAATTTGGTTTCTTCAACACAGGTACGTGAATCGTTACGACAACGAGCTCGTAACAGATCATCTGTATCAACAACCTCAACTTCATCACCTTCCTCATCATTGTCTTCTGCCACCCCAACAGCATCAAATTCATCATCATTTGCATCATCATCTTCATCCTCATCAACTGTTAATCTCATCTCTTTGGGAAGATCACCTTCATTTCGTTATAAAATGCAACAAGTTGGAGAAGAGATTAAAGAATTGGAAAAAGAAGTTTCTCCAGAAATTGATCGATCCACAGCAATTAATCGTATTGATTCCACATCATTAGATCATCATCACCATCATCAATCGGTAAGAGACAATTTAATCACTTGATCCGATCAAAATTCAATCCCGATGTCATGGCCTCATGTTTCCATTACAATTAACAGTAATCATGTAATCTAATTGAACCATGGAGATAATATTTGTATCTCTTTAATTGGCTTTTCATTTTCCTCTCATTTCCGTGTTGATGTTTTCATCTAGTATCTTTATGATGCTTCCAGTTTAATTAGTGTTTCTCCATATTGAGCTTTCGGCAGTTTTCATCAGCAAAATTAGTCAATCTGATCCATTTTGTCCCGATTGTTTATTGATTTAATTGTGGTCGTTAAATGTTGATTGTGTAGGTTTAGAATACCAATCATTTTCCCTTTCATGACTTTATCCTGTTTCCTTTTGTCTCTTCCTCCTTTAATTTAGTTCACCAGCCTCATCATTTTTGATAATTTTCACCATTACAATTAAGGTCACCTAGAGGAAAGAAAACAATGTAAATCTAATTAAATTTTAGTGTCTCTTTGTTTCGCTGTTGATTGAGCGAAGCAAAAAATTTGCTAATTGTCAGCAAACCCGAAATACAGAATGTAAACAGAATGTTCCATATGTAAGCTTAAATTAATTTCTTTTCGTTTCAATTTCCCTTTTTTCGCCTCTTCCATCATTTTTGATCATCTTTATTTCATCATTAACTTTTATCATCATCATTTTATATCAAAAGGAGGACCAGGATTATGGTGATGATGATGATGAAGATGAAAATGAAGATTATTCCAAGTTAATTAACATAGAAGACGAAGGATTCCCTGAAAATTTCCAGGTAATTATCAAAATCTCACTTTCTCTGATTACTGGTGTTTCCTATTGGTTTAAATCATTTGTCACAATTTAAATTGATCACGTTTGATTGGCCAATGGGAGTTTCTTTGTCGACTATTATTGGATACAGAGAAAAGTGAATTAGTGATTAAATTTGTAAATCAATTGATGAAAATGATGATTATGACATTGACTTACATAATTGATCATCATTGAGATTGAGATTTTTGATCACAGACCAAGATTGTTTAGCTAAAGTGTTGACACTGATTGTTGATCATCCAAAGGATTGGAAAGAAAAGTGAAGAGTGAAAATGTTCAATTTTTCGAAAATGCTTATTTTCTGTTGTCTCTTCGATTCTAATCTTCTTGGAATTTTGAGTCAATCTCTGAGTCATCGATTCACCAGGAAACGTAAAAGAGTACGAATTGTCTGCTCATTGAACCTTTTGTTTCATTGTTCGATTGTTTTTAAATTAACTATTGATTCCATTTCTTTTTCATTGTTTATCTTTTTAGAATCAGATGGATGAAGCTTCGAATGATATTGAAGAGAGATATCGACGAGTTCTACTGGCCAACACCCTCTTGGACAACGAACGTCACACTTATTCCTTCGAGGGGGAAAATTTACGAGAAGAGTTTAACACATTGGAAGATGATTATTTACATGGTCGTCGATTACTTAGAGAAAAAACGAGGGTAATCAATCAAATCTTCCATCGCTTTAGACTTTCTAGTGATCACCAATTGATTAATCATTTCCAATCCTCTTCTTCTTAATAGACTTATGATTTATTGAAACGAGATCATGCTAAACTTAAGGATTCCTGTGTCTTCATGGATCATTGTATTAACCAAAGAGATGATTTATTCGAGGTAAGACTATCCGATGATTGGATTTAGGATAAGAATCTGGAAAGAAAAGAAAAGAGATTTTGATTGTATTTTGATCTCTAATTGTTTATGCAGAAAAACGGCCTCAGTTACCTACAATTAAGGCCATTCCGTTCAATTTGTGATATAAAAACTATTTCTCCTCATGATGATAAAGAGGATGGTGATGATACTGAGGATGAAGTTGATTCTGGATACAATAAACCGATTCCATCGATGGTTTTAATAAACGATCCTTCCAATCCAATAGATCAATTTGTGATCAACTTTTTTAACCAATATGACCAATCTACATTGGAGGAACAATTAAAGAGTATAATTAGTGAAAGAATGGATTTAAAAAGAACAGCAGAAAGATTAAGGGAAGAGGTTGAAGAGAAACGTAAAAATAATTCAAATTTGGAGGAGAAAATTTTTACCGAATCATATCGAGTATCTGATGCTGAAGAATTAGAAACCCAACGTGAGTAAAAAATTGAAATAAGATGATAAATGTTTCGTGAAAAGTGCAACAATCAAGATATGAACACTTAAGAAAAGGAGAAATCGAGCTGTTAGAAAGTTTTCTTTTCCTCATCACCAATAGAGCTGAACGTTAACAGAAAGACATTGATTCCATAGATAAAATGAAATTTTCAGGGTGATGTTGAAACTATTGAGACAAAAAGAATGTCAAATTTGAGTTGTGAATGTTGATTAAACAACAATAGTCAATGATGCAAGTCTTTTTGAAAATTTTCAGCTTTCGTGGTGATCAAGAGGATAAGAGGTGAGAGTTACACTGATATGGAGCTTATATAATCAAAGATGAGCCATGATTAAGGAATGATTTGTTTTGATAGAAAATGTTGATGGCACAGATTTACAATCTATTTAAAGAACTGATATTAAAGTATGTTAACTATTTGCTTCTAATGTTGACAAGCTTAGGTTATTATTATTATGGTTAATAACTGGAAAATAGTGTAGGCTGATGAAACAATTCAAGTACGTTGATGCTCCTTATCATATGTCTCATTTGAACAGTTGAGTATCACGCTTATTTACAGCATCTAATCAGTAGGCTCAGGGGAAACACATCAAAATGAATTAACAGGGTAAAATGTAACCATAGAGGAAATTTGATCGACAAGAGAATCCTGAACGTTGTAATTTCTTCAGATTATTCATTTGATCCTTTAGTTGTACTTTACTTGACCAACATTGAATTTCTTTGGTTTTTTTGTTCCATTCTCCATTTTTGATATAATATGTGAATAATTTCTTTTTTACCCTTCCAGAGGAAAACATTCGACTATTGAAAGAATATCGAGATAAATTAAGTATCACTGGAGAAGAAATCAAAAGATTAAAAGAAAAATTAACTTACCTTGAAAAGGAACTTGACCAATTGAAAAGGAATCACCAAAATTCTGAGAAATCGGAAGTTACATTGAACAAGAAGAAACGTCAATCATTACGACAGGTGAGAAATAACTCCAACTGGTATCTTAAATATTCTCAAATCAATAAATCAATCATCAAGAACTAATTACTTAGTAAGAATTTAGAACAAATTTTCATCTTTGTTTACATTTTTCTTCAAGAACAATTTTTGAATTTGAAAGAAAAAAATTCTCAAATATTAGTAGTCCTTTTATTCCAAAGATGGCGACACTTATTCCATCAATTTTATTGTACGATTTTTAATTTAACTTTTCAATCTCATTCATCTTTAAACACAATTGATTTCTATTTAATTTAATTCAACCTTGATTTCTAATTTAACTTAATCAATCAAACCAAAAAGAAAAGTGTTAATTCTAATTTGATACCTTTTACGTGACAATGATTAACTTGGTTCGTTTTAATTTGATTGTCAGTTGAAGGCTGATTGTTTTTCTGTAGAAAAAAAAATAGTTAAAAATGTGAACCTTTTTAACGGTTTTCACTTGACCAAATTAATTAGGATTTTCTATTTCTCAGTTAATCAAAGATTAAATTGTTTAAAGGTAATGTAAACAAGGTATTCTTAACTTGATAGAAACCAAGATTATCAAGTGATTAGGTTTTACTTACATGAGACTGTTGATTTCTAATTAACTTTACCAATAACTAATCAATGTTTTTTTCTTTTCTTTTTTTCTCTTTCCTATCTTTTCTCATCTTTCATGTGTTTGTCTCTCTCACTCACCCAATGGTTGATTTAATGGATAAAATAAAAAAGCTTCGAGAAGTAGAAGCCAAAATTGGCGAGCTTGAAGGTTTAAATAACCTTTTATATAAGAAACTTGATAAGATTAAAAAGTCCAAATATGTTGTAAGCTGATTCCAAAGTTAAGATGGATCATCATCTTGTTAATCACCTTCGAAGGAGAATCGTTTTGTTTTTTAAAAGCATCTTAACACCAGTGGATCTCAAACGGATTTAGAGGGAGAAACAGATAATCAAGGAAACAAACATACAAACAAAAAGTGACCATATTTTTACAGCAATAGTTTGTTACCTTAATTGATAACAGCGAAAACAAAACCATTAACTAGAGCATCCGCCAGCCTCCCACCATCACCACCACCACCATCATCATCAAAGTTATTACTTGCTACCATCATTAGCATCACCATTATCATCATCAGGAGATGAAACAATATCATCAATATAAACAACAACAAGAACAACAACTACACAGTCAATCTTTCAGAAATTACAACAATGAGGTTTGATTTTCCCATGAATTTTGGTGTTCTCTCAGAGAACTTGAATTCAGTTTGATAGGCTTACATGAGTATTTTCCAATGATAAGCAATCAACAAGAAAGAGATAGAATCTTTTACTTTTTCTTATCTTCATCGTAAATCAAAACAATTGTTATTCTTGATTGAGTGACAAAATTACCCATTACTTTTTGATTGGAACAAAAATTTAACCGCCAACATTTTATTACCATTCAAGGGACGAGACTTATCATCACTGCTACTTTATAATTAACTTGATTTGTTAATCTATTATAATAATTGACACTTAATTTCAAGCATTTCTCCATCTATTACAATTTAGAATCTCGTCAGTATTACTAATCAACTGTAAACATAGAGAACTACGAGAAAAGGAGGTAATCAAGTCACCTGGGCTTCTATCAGTCTATCAACAAATCATAACTTGGATATCAAGGAGAGAGAGAGATTGACCTCAAGATTGATCTCATCTTCGCTTCAATAATCAAACTCATTGTCAAATTGTGATGGACTGAAAATCACAGGAAACCAGAAAGAGAGAAAAACTAATTTCTTTTCGATTACTGTTTTAAATAGTCCATCGAAAAGCATATGGTAAATGATGATCCAAATCATTTAATAGACTATTTTCCCGATAATGATGAGCCTCTATTGTTTATCAGTCGATTCTCATACATTAAGGATTCCATCAAATGGTCACAATCATCTGTACTAATCAAGCATTGTCATCAAACCATCATCATCACACCCACATTTAGATTTACAAAACAACAACAAAGACCATGAAACAATGATGATCATCAATTATGGAATCAACAACAAAGAAGATAAAAAGACACATGAAGAGAAACAAAATCTAATCATTAAAAATGGATAGAAATGATTCTCGAATTGTGATAACATGAGAGAAAAGATTTAATCATAATTGATTTTGTCTAATTACACTTCTTACGACTTGATTGTGCCTTTTATCCACATTTAATCACACACACCAATCTACACATTCTCACACTGATATGACCTTCTCTCCTTTTTATTTATTAACCTTTTCTATTATGTTGGTTACCTATACCAAAGGTCATTTGGAAAACAAAACCCATTAGATTAATCATCAGGAAAAGTAAACATAAAATCACCAAGAAAATGATTGTGAAAATCTCCAAATGCAATTGCTGTTTCATCAACCACTGATTTTGGATAATCAAAAACAAGTAATCACCATTTTAATGAGCTAATTCAAATTATATTGGATAGAAATATTTTTCATTACAATCAAATGAACAGAGGAAAACCAATAATGAATCAACAAAGAAACACAGTGGCCTCTCAATTTAACAAGACAGAAATTAACTTTACAACAATTAACCTTTAACCAACTCTATCGATAAGCCAATGATTGTGTTTATTTTACCTTTGGAACCAACAATTTATCACCAACCTTTGAACCAGCGGATGATGATGATGATACTCAATCTATAACCTTGATGATCAAGTTAATTCATTAACTTAACTGTTTATCTTTTCATGTCTTTTTTTTATCTTCTCAATTGATTCTCTCATCCAAAAAAGATGATGATGAAGATGATGAAGTAAAAGTCTCAGTCCTCAGAGGCACTAAGGTTGATTAGATGGTTTCTTTTGATTTCTAATGTACAAGATTTGTCAAGAAAACGATAACACGTTCACTCGTTATTATATTTAAGGTAAATAAATAACATGTTCATCTTCATCCTTGACCAATCATTGGGATGAAAACTGAGAGAGAGAGAAGAGAGGAAAAGTTATCATTTCTATTTTATAGGAAACGTCAATTCGTTGATTAAATTGTTGAAGAAAAAGGTAAAATTATTTATCATTAATTTGATTGAAAATTGATTACAATATGTGCTCATATTGCTAGAGAACAGGAAATTAACTCCTGGACAATGGGCAGAAATTAAAATACTAAATTAACTTTGATTGTTGATGATCCAGGTAACACATTAATTAGAATAAGAGATTTTCTCATCTCCTCCTGAGTTTGAATTTCCTTTTCGAAGAGAAGAAAATGAAATTTTAATATTGTAACGATTGTTTTCTAACTAATCAGATCACATCCGCTTTTATCAGCACGTTGACACACCCAAACTCGGAATCACCCAAAGAGCAATGAAACAAAGATGATAACTTATTCTCATGTTGATCATGATGATAAAAACTCCTGGTGATATAAACTGTCAGTCCTTTGAATGGTAAAGAAATTAATATCAACTGGGATGATAGGATGATAATGGTAAGTGATGAGGATGAGGATGAAACCTTTGATTAACGCCCATCATCCCACATCCTAAGTCAATGTGATATTTTTTTCGAGTTCATTTTTGTTGATCATCAATTGTTATCGATTCATGATAAAAGGATAACAATTACAATTACAATTGAGTAAATTGGTTTAATCATATTGTATAACTGACACAATTGGACAATATTGATGGCGGTGTAAAAGGTTGTGGGTGGATGAGGAGGAGGAAAGTAGATGATGATGATAATGATATTTAAGGGGAAGGATATTGATGAAGGATGAAAATAAAAAGGAAAAGGAAAAGATGATGAACAAGGAAAATGATTGAGTTTATGCTGTTCAGTAAATGGGAAGATCAATTTGGAGGCTGTGACCTTATCAAAAAGCATCAACACCATGGGGTTATCTTCATCTTCATCTTCATCCTCATCATCTTCATTATTGTAGCTTGATTTTTGTCCACAAATCATTTTACCAGAAAAAAAATGATCCAATTACACAATAATAGTAATCTTTACCTCCTTCATCCTCATCAATGAGATGAAGATGAGGATGAGGATGATAAAAAACGAAGTTAAAATGAAAAAAGCATAAGAAGATGAAGGATGATGAGAGTTTGTAAGAGGAGGAGGTGGAGGGAGTGAGGGAGTTGCTTGAGTTGCGATCGATATGAGAGATGATCTTGGAACAGGAAGTGATGAGGGATAAACTTGTAGGGATCCAAGGTGATGATGAACAGGAAATGGAAACAGAATTAAGTTAATCAACATTTTCAAATTCCAATTGAATTCCCTGTCGCTGGGAAGTTGATAATTACCTTTATCCCAACAAATGAAACTCTTGCGTTCACAACTTAATCCAAAATCAACTCGGTTAATCCACTTGGATTTAATCAACAATCAACACAAGTAAATTAATCACTTCCTTATTAACAGCAGTCACAGTGAATAAAAAACGGGATGACCAATGAATTTGATTAATTAATTGTTCTAATTAAAACTGTGTATCCAAAAGGTAAATCAATTTTATGATACCAGAAATGATTACGATTAAATTTTTGCAGCAATTAAAGGTATCATCATCATCTTAATGATTAAAGGTAAGGTTAATTGATCTGTATTTCAAGCTTTTACGTTTATTGATTAAGATACGATTAGTTAATTAGCATTTTATGATTACCTTTTTATGTTAATTAATTTATGATATCATCAAGGATCTAATGTAATTGTAGTTGATGACAACAATTAACTTACTTGGTCAACTTGACTCTCAACAGTGAAAATGATAATTCAGATCATTGACCAACAATTTAATCATCGTAATCATAATTACAATCAGTAGAATCATCAATGGTTATTTCATCATTAATTGTTGTTGATTTTTGTTTGTTTTCAGCTTATAACTTGTTTTCAGTATAATCAGTTAATTGTTTGTGCTTTATTATGGTCAATTATAGTTTAGTAAATCAAATAATTTACCTTAATTAAAGGTTTAAATTATTCAGTTAAATAGTAATGATTAACATAACCAAATAATAATTAAAGTCGATGGATGATTAACAAAATTAAAGTAATCACGACATTGATTATCATTGTTTTCCAACAATTTAACATCCAAGAACAAAATTATCAAGATAAATCAAGAAAACAAAATTAAAATCTAATTAAAGTTTCAAATTGTTGATAAAATTTTGGGAGACAATTAAATGGCTTAAAGATATTAACAAATTGTTTGATTTAGTTGATTGTTGTTGGTTAATTCTCTTAATTGTTGTTAACCACCACCACCACCATTGATGATGATTAACAACATTAGATTTGTTAATTTCTCGAGTTGTTGTTTTCATTTTAATAATAATATTCAAGGTGATTTGGTTGGTTAGTTAATTGTGAGACTTGATTAGCTAAATAAAAAGTAGATCCGAAAAGGTTAATTGTAAAGTGATTCATTTTAATCAATTGAATCTATTAGATGATTGATTAGACAAAAATGTAATTGCAATTTAAGTAACACTCCTGAAAGTAGAGATGAGATTTAAACTAAATCAGTTGATTATGATTAGTGTATTTAAATTATCAAACCTTCAACCAACAAGTATATTAGTTATTTAACTATTTATTTAATCAATTGACCTGGTAATTAACTACTAACAATTTAAATTGTACAAATTGATCTATCATGATTAAATAATCAATGAAAGCCAATGAAGTAATTAAATGATTGATTAAATCAGTAGTTGAACAAAAAAAAGTGTTTCAATCAATTAATTGTTGAATCTGATTAACATTTACAATTTAAACAACAACTCAATTGAAATTGTTTGAGTTAACAAAAACTAACAAAGACAATTAAAGTTAAATCAGCAACAATTAGCAATATCAGAATCGCAATTAACCACAAATTAGTTTAAAAACACTGTGGTTAATTGTTATTATAATAATTAACAGAGATCAAGTTTGTTAATCAATCGATTCCCTCCTTAATTGTTGGCACAATTAACTAAATAATTTTAGGTGTGGATAAGTAATCACAATGCAAATGATTTAAAGTTAATTATAAACATACAATTGAAATATGGTCTTGATTGTGTTGATCATTAATTACAATTTTCAGTTGATTGTTACAATTAATAATAATAATGAATACATAATTAAATTGTGCCACCAAGTGAGTTGCATGCATAATTATTTGATTAACTAATCGGGAAGGATAAAAGAGTTAATTGTTATTAAGTGATCAGTATTGATTGGAATGAATTAAAAATGATAATTTTAATCATTCAATTAACGGTAGCAATTTAATCACGATGATTAAAATGATTGTTGTTCAGTTGGACGAGCCCATAGATAGATTTGATTAATGTTAAGGCTTCTGATTGTTTGTAGTTAATATTTTAATTATCATGATGATTATTGTTTCATGATGAGGCTTATTGGTTAGTAGTAGTTGATTAAAGTTAATTGTGATTAGTTGAAACCAAACCTTTGTTTATGTCAAGATTTAAGATTCAATGTTAACTTCAATTAACTAACATTGATTAACAATTGTAAATGAAAAATTAATATAAACAATCAACATTTCAGGAACTAATAAATTGCAATTAGATTAATTATTGTAATTGATTTCCAGGTAGATTTAATTGTAATTAGTTTTTTTTTGTTTTCTAATTACAATCAGATCGAAACTCCTTTTGTTATTGTTTTTGTTGGTCAAGTTTCGGGATTTAATTGTTAATCAAATGGAGATTATTAAGTTGAGACAATTTATCAAATATATCTAATAATGATAATTAACTTAATTGTCTTGATCGGAACCAGAAAACTGATTTGATTTGCTTACAATCAATTAACTACTACAAGAGTCAGATTAAGAGACATATTAGATTTCATTAGATTGTAACAAATAGTGGACCAAACTGACCAATCGAGTAACTTCAATTGGAATGGTCAGTTGAGTGGAATCATTAATTTGACCATTTTTTTATTGATTATCACCTTTGAGAGGAGGGTGATCCCACTCTCGATCAAGTGATTAACTAAACAATCAAAGATATTGAACTTAATCATCGCCATTAATAACTCTCAACTTGGAGGCAGTTAAATCATAATGATTTGATTAAAACCTTGACAAGAAGACTGGACAATCAACACAAACACTGACACACAATTAGAATTGTAATTTGATTAATTGTCAACATGATAAACTAATAACCGGGAAACTTTGATTAACTTAATGAGAATAAAGTAAATTACCTATGGACACACACACTCAGAGACCAAATCAAAAAATAATCAAATTAAATCACCAAATTTAACAATAAAAAACAGTACCAACAATTACAACCTTATTAAGATAATATTTATTGTTAATAATTAACCGGTTGTTATTGAATTAAATGTAACAATTTAACAACAATAGTCACAGATTGAAAGTGCTCTTATAAAAAGTTATATCAACTACTGTGAACCATAATGATTAATATTTAATTGTTATCACTGATTCTAATAATTAATAATAATGATAGAAACACATTACAAGAGCAATTAGAGTGATCACCCAAAAGTTAATTGTCTCCTATTGATAATACACTTGGCGCGAGATGAAATGTGACTGACCATTGATTAAGGGATCGAAATGACAGAGGAAATAAAATAAACTGACCACAAGGGAGTAACAAGAAAGGAGAAAGAGATAAACACACAATAAACTGACCAATGGTCAGAATTTATAAAAGAAAACGAAGATCCTATAAGGTGATCTAATGTGTATAATGACCAAGTGATTGGGGAGTTGTCCAAGTATAAGAGAGAGAGAGAGAGAGAGAGAGAGAATCAGATAAACCATTAGCTGGACACCCACGATTGGAATGATTAAGAATCTGAGTTTTTCTTGGTGAACTTTGAGTGCGAAGCATTAAAATTAATTCTTAGGTGAGATTCATCAGATAT